AAAAGCTAATTTTATTTTATTTAAAATTTTAATACTATTTCTATTTTTAATATATAATAATAGAATAAAATAAAGAATTTAATATATAATAAATAAAAAGCTTCAAAATTAATTTAAATATAAGAATTCAAATCTTTTAACCCGTTATAATATCCATTACGTGTAAATAAAAATGTATGATTTTTTCTTTTTTTTATAAATAAACTTTTTTAATATTGCGAAAAAATTTATTTTTGCAATTTTTGCCAATTTTTTTAGAATATGAAACATGGTTCATTTATATTTTGTAAAAGACGAAGAGAATCAATGAATTGAATGTCACGAAATTCCGCATGAATTAAATAGTAAAGATAAAGGAACTAAAGTGAAACGATATCAACTACTTTGTACGATTACGAATTGTTCGAAGAAAGAGCACCATGGCTTCGATCTACGTAGACAGTCCAGACAGGAAATCGCGACATATCCCACCGCCATTGTAATGACGATGGGAATCTTGTTGTCGAACAACAACACCTATAAGTTTATTATCGCAATGAGACTATTCGAGGAGGATAAACAGCCATCATATATTACACTGACGATTATGCTACTAATGCTAAATAGAATATTGTATACACTTAGCGAAAGAGTGAAGAGGAGACCAGACCAGACTTGGGCGACAAACTTATCACCAGCCCATTGTCATCTGGGAGTAGATTCCGTCTGCCTGACTTTGTCAAAGTGGCGTCGGTAATGAGCTCGACCGCGACCCCGATGCCGATGACCATGATTATGATTATTACCATGATTGTGCTGCATCTGACGTGATTGATATTGTGAGTGATGATGATTCTGCGACTGGTGCGTCGATTGCTTAGAGTGCTGCTATGACAAAAATCAAAAATGCTCATTTCAGTTAGTTGAAGATTCAATGCAAAATTGGAAAATTGAATAATAAGAAATATAGCTATTATCAGATTAAGTATGATTGAGTATGATTGTTGATAATCATTCCTGAAACTTTGTTAATTTAAAATGAATCTATTTTTTAAAGTTTGAATAGAAAAATATCCTATGTCATTCTATCAAATGTAAAATTATGTGCGATATTATAATGAGTGTTTAATTTGATTGACATACAATTGGAATTAAACATCAAATTTAATTTAATTATATACTGCAGATATTTTAGAATTCTTGGAAAAAAATAAGATTCAGCATTAAAATAAAAATATAAATAGTTAGAGGAATATTAAAATAATAGATCATTTTTAAATCATTATTGCAACATTCAATTTTCCTATATTTTTCAAGATTTTAACAAAATTTATTATAAGTTTTATATATTCTGTTAAAACGATAAATTATACAATCCATTGTATCATAATCATTAAGATGACTGATTACTTACCACTTGTGTAACCGACTGCATGGTGGTGGTATTCGAATATGTATTCAAACTTGTACTAGGTGGGCTGACCTCTTCTGCAGCAGCGGCAGGATCGTCCTCCGTCCTCACTAACATCTTCACGCCTTCAGCTTCTAAATCGATTATACCGCCTCGCTGTTGCTGCCGCAGATACAGAGCAGCCATGTGCTTTTGCAGTTCCCTCAATTCAGCGGTGACAGAAAAATCAGTAGCAGCCTCAACATCAATTGGTGGCGGCGCTGACCACAGACTCTCAACGTCGCAGTTGATCGATTCCCGGCAAACAGGACATATAGCCTAACAAAATGAATATTAATGAATAAATATAAATACAGATACAGAATGAAAAATAAACATTAGCAAACATTACAATAACGTTGAAAAAAAATGCGTAAGCACTTTTTAGTAATATTTTTTTATTTTTTATTAACGGAAACGTACTTGGAACTTATTTGTAGTATCTTGCTGCCATTGCGGTAATTTCTCTTGCTCTTCCCTGTAATATCTCTCGGCAGCGGCGACATGTGCCGCCAAACAGTGCGAATGAAAATAATGATAGCATTCTGTTTTCGTAAATTCATCTCCTTCTCGAAAACCGTACAAGCATACGGCACACTGATCAGTGGGAAGATTGCTTCTTGTCAGATGTTCTCGTATTAACTGGATTATCATTATGTCATATCATGAATTGTCATGTCATTATGAATTAAAATTATTATTATTATTATGTATTATTACTATTATTATACTAATTAAAATTGCTATTATTCTTACTTATCATTGCATCTAATATTTTTTGAAATAATTATTATCTGTCTATAAATGATAATTTTTACTTTAATTTTTATATAAAAATTGAAACAAAGAATCTATATCAGTCCATAAGTTGAAGCCTTTTGGAGCCAAACACAAGGATGTCGATGTATAATAAGATTTATTAGTTTTAATATCTTATACATACGTTTCTATTTAACTTCGGATTCTTTTCAATGCAAATTGAACAAATACTTTTAATGAATCCGTATCTGATTGTATATTTAAACTATTTTTCTGTTTGCAAATGAAAATCATTTCTGTTCAAATATAGACTAAAGATCAGTTATCACAGAATATCGGACTGAAGCACACGATTTTGACTGGGACAATGTTAAGATATTAGATTAAGAAAAAATATTAAACAAACTCAATATTAAACAAACAAATATTAAAAAAACTCAGAAATGATTTTCGCAACAAAAAAATAGTTTAAATATAATATAAATAGTATAAATCAGATACGGATTCATTAAACAAAGCATATGATTTTTAGTTTTTATGATTTGAAGCTTTTTATTTAAAAATAACTGAGTTTTTCCTCTCTTCTTTGTTGTTTGTGGTTTAACTCGTGATTTGTACTTTAGCTTAGCTTTGTTTAAATGTATCGTAACGTCCGTACAGATGACACGTATTTTATAAGCTTAACGAATATCATGTAAGTTTTTTAAATTAGTAGTTGTTCACGACTTTAATGTATTAGATCATTATTTCTTGTCAACACTTTATTTTTTTATAATTATGTCATCAATGAAATATCGATTATATTTGTAAGTCAATGCGTCGGAAATTCAATGATTTCGTTCAATTTGCATTGAAAAGAATCCGAAGCTGAATCGAAACGTATGTGTAAAACATTGGAACTAATAAATCTTATTATGCATCGACATCTTGTGTTTAGCTCCAAAAGGCATCAATTTATGAAGTGATTCTCTAATGAGCCTAAAAAACTATATATTTGTGTGCTTATATTTTATTCTAAAGAGATGAACATATTTTTTTACTATATCGTGTTTTATTTAATTATAAAAATAAGTTTTAAAAAAAATTATCAATATAAATTGTAAATTATGAACTGAGTAAGATACAAATTAATCGAAGATCTAACATAATTTATTGTGAATTAAATTACTATTAATTATTGTATTGTATAATTGATTACTGGATTTTAATAGTATAAATAGTTTTAAATATCTTTTATGCAATTGTAGCTTAATTACAAAATTTTGTAACTAACAAGATTAATGACTCTCTCTCTCTCTCTCTCTCTCTCTCTCTCTCTCTCTCT